TTTAATTATTATTATTATTAATTATAAATAATTTTTATATGTTTATACATTTAAATATTATTATTTCTAAATTTTTTAGACTAGCAAAACATCGACTAATAATTGGTTTGCAATCAAATAATAATTCAATGATACCATTGAATAATTATCACAACATCGACAACAATACTACCCACTCATTGGAAACAATAGTTAATTAATAGACGACAAAAAAATTATAGTTATTTTTAATACACTTAAAATTTATGTAAAATTTTTTTTATTTACTTTTTTAATTATTTAGAAATATATAAAACAATATTAGATTAATGTAATTAAAAATATTAATTATTGTTAATTATTATTGAATTTTTATTAGTATTTTGTTTGATATAAATTTTTTGTTTTTATTAACATCTATTTGGGCACTGACAGGGCAGGCATTTATTTACTTAAAACCCTGATAGCACTATGTGTGTGACTGTTAGCTATATTTATATTTATTATTATTATAAATATAACTATGTGTGTGCTATACACACAAAGCCACTCCTATGTGGGGGTCGGTAATGAGGGTCGCCTACTGTCCTTTATATACAACAATAATATACTAATAAATTTAAACATAATATGTATATAATAATACAGCATATAATTTTTTTTAACAATAATTTTATTTTATGATAACATATTGTAAATTATCTCAAATGATTCATATAGCAATAAGTCTATAATTATCAATATTTATCTAACAATTTATTTACAAATAAGTGTTTTTTTATATTAAGTATTTTTTGTGGACATAATAAATAATTATTACATCAGCTTTAAGTAAAAAATATACTAAGTTAGCAGTTATAATAAATTATTTAAATTAAAGTTATTCAAAAATGTAACTTTTATTATATTAATAGTTTCAATGTTATTTCAATAATTTTTTCAAAATTATGATTTACGTAATAAACGAATACGACATAAATGATTTGTATATCTATTAAATTACTTAAAAAAAACATTATTTAATTATTGTGTATATTATGTATTATTTATTGAAATTTATAATTTTATTTATAACAACTATTGATATCGTAAAATGTGAATTACCATGGTACAGGACTACCTCACAAAAAGGTAATTTATATACAGTAATTTTTTTTAAAAAAATAAATATAAGATTTATTATTTTTTTTAACATTATAATCAACAACAACAAATTATTTAAAAAATCAACTGTTATAAATTTTATTTAGATATAATACTGTATAATATTATATAAAAATAAATTAATATTTTAGTTTATAATTAAACTATTAATAAATAATTTTTTAATTGAATAATTTATTTATTAATTAAAAAAAATATGTTTAATTTAAAATTAAACTTTTTCTCATTGTTTAATTTATTATAGATTGCAACAATGTACAAATAAATTCAATTGCTGCTGGTTATATAAGCAGTCCTAATTATCCTGATAATTATTTAAATAATTTACAATGTACATGGTCGATTACTGTCGACAAGAGTTGCCAGATTCAATTGATTGTTGAGGATTTTCTAACTGAATTTCTACATGATCAAATCTATATATACGATAATTATCAGCAACAACAACAACAACAAAATTTAGAGCTATCTATCTATAGTAACCATTTAGATAGTAGTATGAATTTGATTAAATCTACGTCAAATACAATGGTCATCCTATTTAAAACTGATGAAAGTGAAACAAGTAGAGGATTTAAACTAAGATTTAAGGAAATAGGTATTTATTTATTTTTTATTTTGTTTTTAAAATAATAAACAATTTTTTTAAAATGTAAAATATTAATATATATATATATAAATAAAACTGTTTGAATCTTAAAGTTAAACCAATTAATTTGTCAAAATTTGCCATGGACAATTTGTTGTGTGGATCAAATCTAACAAATCAAACTGGATCAATTAGCTATAGTAATTTTGACAATCAATTTGATAAATGTTTATGGAATATAACAACTAACCCTGATAAAAGTTTGCGCTTATATATTAGCAAGTTTCATATTGAAAAGCATCAAGTCGAAATTTTTGACAATTATTATTATTATCATTACTACGATAATTATAATTATTATAACAATTATGTTTCGCTAATGAAATTATATTCAACTAACATTTATGATGAAACCAATGGCACACATGTAGTGTCGGCATCAAATAATGTTATTGTTGCAGCCAATGTGCAAGGTCAATTTGAAATACAATACGAAACTATTGATCATGGTAAACTTAAAATAATATCTATCTATCTATCTATCTATCTATCTATCTATCTATCTATCTATCTATCTATCTATCTATCTATCTATCTATCTATCTATCTATCTATCTATCTATCTATCTATCTATCTATCTATCTATCTATCTATCTATCTATCTATCTATCTATCTATCTATCTATCTATCTATCTATCTATCTATCTATCTATCTATCTATCTATCTATCTATCTATCTATCTATCTATCTATCTATCTATCTATCTATCTATCTATCTATCTATCTAATAATTTAATATTAATATACTAATTATATTTAGGATGTGGTGGTATATATAGCGATCTAAATGGTGGCAAAATCTATAGTCCAGGTTATCCAAAAATGTATTACGATAATCTAAATTGTACGTGGCTAATCAATGTTACCCATGGTTATAATATAAATTTTCAAATTGACGAATTAGACACTGATAAAAATGACTATGTTAACATTGATAATCAATACATTATAAGTGGATTAAATGAACCGGGTGGTAGTCAAAATGTATCGGTAAATACTAATCAGGCCAGGGTAACATTTTTATCCGATAATAACAATAGCATTAAAATGGGTTTCAAAATAAGCTACCGTACAAAATATATGGGTATTTTTTAAATTAGTTTGTTGTAATTAATTAAGTTTTATTATAATTATTATACATAATAATAATTTTTTTATATTTTAAAATTATTACTATATAGGCTATAAAGGAACTTTAATATTATCAATATTAAATAGTTTGCTGAATATGCAAACAAATAGAAATTTTGACCATTATTTGGGTTATATGGATATTATTGATGCCAATAAAAATCAATTGATTATATTTCATCAGGATAGTGATCGAATAAAATTTATTAACCTGGATAATTTTACTGATATTATCTATAAAATTGATTCAATACAAGCCAGACCTGATGGTATAGCATATGATTGGACACACGGACTGTTGTATTGGATAGACAGTCAGTTTAAAAATATTAATGTTATGCACATTAATAGTACACAAAATAGACATACAATTGTTAATCTTGACAATGATTTATCTAAACATCTATTAGTAAATCGTATGAAATCAGTACTTATTTGGATTAATATTGGGTTTCACCCAAATCTAATGCAATCAAATTTAGACGGAAGTAATCAAACAGTTATTTATCAAAAACATAGACAAGTGACACAATTGACCATTGATTACGATAAACAAAAATATTATTTCATTGATCACACAGACTATGGATTATATTCATGCGATTTCAATGGCAATAATGAATTGTTTTATTTGAAATCCAAACAACTATTTGATTCATTGATTGCAATACAAGTCATCGATAATGACTTATTTGTGGCAAACAATCACATGATTTATAAACTACAAGAAATAGATCTACGGATACCCAGAGCTGAAGTAATTGTTTTTGCCAACAAATCTTTAATAAGTTTTAATAATGATATATACTTTGAATATAACTCGACAAACATTCACAGCAATAGTATATATGACTACTTTTTAATTAATCTGAAAGTTTATAATTTTACACTTAATAATAAATGCATTGATAATAACTGTCATGATTTATGTCTACCCAGTAGTAGTAGTAGTAGTAGTAGTAGTAGTAGTAGTATTGGACAGTCGTATAATTGTTTAGATAATTATAGAAAAAAAACTTATAATAACTTAAAATTCATTACCATATTTAATACAATTGTTTTTGTTTTTGTTATAACTTTCATTGTGGTTATTATAATACTGTAAGTATTATTGTTATTATTATTTATAATAATTATTGTTTATTTTTTTATAAATAATATATTTGATAACAATATACAATATATATATATATATCTTATATTTTCTTTAGTCTTAAATTATCAAAACGTCGTCTAATAATTGGTTTGCAATCAAATAATAATTCAATGATACCATTGAATAATTATCACAACATCGACAACAATACTACCGACTCATTGGAAACAATAGTCAATTAATAGACGACAAAAAATTATAGTTATTTTTAATACACTTAAAATTTATGTAACTTTTTTTATTTACTTTTTTAATTATTTAGAACAATGTATAAAAACAATATTAGATTAATGCAAGAAAAATTATCATTTATTGTTAATTATTATTATTATTAATATTTTGTTTGATATAAATTTTTTTAATTAATTTAATACAAAAATATTATTGTTAGATAAAATAAACGTTAATTGTAAATAAATATTTATTATATTTATAATAGATATATTGTATATAAATTTTTTTTAACAATAATTTTATTTTATTATGATAACATATTATAGTGAAATTATAATATAATTTGTAAATTATCTCTATGATTCATACTATAAATATAAGTCTATTATTATCAATATTTATCTAACAATTTATTTACAGATAAGTGTTTTTTTACTGTTATATTAGCTATTTTCTAGACATAATAAATAATTGAGTAAACTTTGAGTAAAAATATATTAAGTTTGCAATTATAATTAAATAAAATTACAAAATAATAAATAATTATTATATAATAAATAAAATTGTAAAATTATTGATAATCTAACATTTATTTAATAGATTCAATATTATTTCAACAATTTTAAATTATCAGTAAATGATTTTTAATAAAATTATTTGTATTAATTAAATTACAAAAAATCATTTAATTTGTGTATTATGTATTATTTATTGAAATTTATCATTTTATTTATAACTATTGATATGGTAAAATGTGAATTACCATGGTACAGGACTACCTCACAAACAGGTAACTTGTATACAGTACAGTATATTTTTTTTTTGAATAAATATAAGATTTATTATTTTTTAGCATTATAATCAAATTAAAAATAATTATTTAAATCAACTGCTATAAATATTATTTAAATATAATACTGTATAATATATCATATTAATAAAATATAATAAAATAATATAGTTTATTAAACTATTGATAAATAATTTTTTTAATTGACGTATTTTATTAAATAATTTATTATTAAAAATAATATGTTTTATTTTTTCTCTATCTGTTTAATTAATAGATTGCAACAATGTACAAATAAATTCAACTGATGCTGGTTATATAAGTAGTCCTAATTATCCCAATAATTATCTAGATAATTTACAATGTACATGGTCGATTACTGTCGATAAGGGTAACCAAATTCAATTGATTGTTGAGGATTTTTCAACTGAATCACTACACGATCAAATCTATATATACGATAATTATCAACAACAACAACAAAAGTTGCTAGCTAACTATAGTGGCCAATTAATAGCTAGTAGTAGTAGTGATATTAAATCTACATCAAATACAATGGTCATCCTATTTAAAACTGATCATAGTCAAACACGTAGTGGATTTAAGCTAAGTTTTAAGGAAATAGGTATTTATATTATTATTTTTAAAAAAATAATAATTTTATAAATGTAAATATTAAAATATTAATTTTGAATTTTTGTTTTATATTAAAAAAACTGTTTAAATCTTAAAAGTTAAAACAATTAATTTATCAAAATTTGCCATGGACAATTTGTTGTGTGAATCAAATCTAACCAATCAAACTGGATCAATTAGCTATTTAAGTAACGTTAACAATCAACTTAATAATAAATGTTTATGGAATATAACAACTAACCCTGGTAAAAGTTTGCGTTTATATATTAGCAAATTTCATATTGAAAAGCATCTAGTAGAAATTTTTGACAATTATTATCATTACTATGATAATAATTATAGCAATTATGTATCGTTAATGAAATTATATTCAACTAATATTTATGATGAAACCAATGGCACACATGTAGTGTCGGCATCAAATAACGTTATTGTTGCAGCCAACGTACAGGGTCAATTTGCTATACAATATGAAACTATTGATCATGGTAAACTTTAAAAAAATATCTATATTTCTAATTATTAATATTGTTTATTATAATTATTATTTTCTATCTATATATATATATATATATATATATATATATATATATATATACATAATTATATTTAGGATGTGGTGGTATATATACCGATCTAAATGGCGGCACAATCTATAGCCCTGGTTATCCAAAAATGTATTACGATAATCTAAATTGTACCTGGCTAATCAATGTTACCCTTGGTTATAATATAAATTTTAAAATAGACGAACTCGATACTGATAAAAATGACTATGTTTACATTAATAATCTATACAATATAAGTGGATTAAATGAACCGGGTGGTCAAAATGTATCGGTAAATACTAATCAGGCCAGGGTAACATTTTTATCCGATAATAACAATAGCATTAAAATGGGTTTCAAAATAAGCTACCGTACAAAATATATGGGTATGACTATTTTTTTAATTAGTTTGTTTTAATTAATTATGTTTTATTATAATTAATTAAGTTTTAATTTAATTAATTAATTTTATTATAATTAATTAATTTTTATTATAATTATTATAAAAGATAATAATTTTTTATTCAAATTTATTACTATATAAGGCTATAAAGGTACTCTAATATTATCAATAGTAAATGGTTTACTAAATATGAAAACAAATAGAAATTTTGGTCATTATTTGGGTTATATGGATATTATTGATGCCAATGAAAATAAGCTAATTATATTTCACCAGGATAGTCATCGATTAAAATTTATTAATCTGGATAATTTTACTGATATTATCTATAAAATTGATTCAATACAAGCCAGATCTGATGGTATAGCATATGATTGGACACACGGACTGTTGTATTGGATAGACAATCAGTTTAAAACTATTAATGTTATGCATATTAATCAAACACAAAATAGACATACAATTGTTAATCTTGACAATGATTTATCTAAACATCTATTAGTAAATCATATGAATTCAGTACTCCTGTGGAGTAATATTGGTTTTCAGCCAAACCTAATGCAATCAAATTTAGACGGAAGTAATCAAACAGTTATTTATCAAAACAATAGACAAGTGACACAACTGACCATTGATTACGATAAACAAAGATATTATTTCATTGATCACACAGACTATGGATTGTATTCATGCGATTTCAATGGCAATAATGAAATGTTTTATTTAAAATCCAAACAACTATTTGATTCATTGATTGCAATACAAGTCATCGATAATGACTTATTTGTGGCAAACAATCATATGATTTATAAACTACAAGAAATAGATCTACGGATACCCAGAGCTGAAGTTATTGTTTTTGCCAAAATGTCTTCAATGAATAGTATTGATAAACAGATATACTTTGTGTATAACTCGTCAATCATTCACAGCAATAGCATATATGACTACTATTTAATTAATCCAAAAGTTTATAATTTTACACTTAATAATAAATGCATTGATAATAACTGTCACGATTTATGTCTACCCAGCAGTATTGGACAGTCGTATAATTGTTTAGATAATTATAGAAAAACAACTCAAGATACTAATGATAATAATCATAATTTATACAAAAATAGTACATTAATTGACGTAAATATTGATGAAAAATTAGCTAGCTTAAAATCAATGACTATATTTAATACAATTGTTATTGTTTTAATTATTATTACTATTGTAGTTATTATATTAATGTAAGTATTGTATTATTTTTATTATAATTATTGTTTATTTTAAAAAAATAACTATAAATATATCTTATATTTTATTTATAGTTTTAAATTATCAAAACGTCGTCTAATAATTGGTTTAAAATCAAATAATAATCCAACGATAGAAATGAATGATTATCAATACATCGACAACAATACAACTGACAAATTGTAATCAATTGTCAATTAAAATAACAAAAAAATAAACAAATATTTAAAATCTTGTTATAAGTTATAAAATTTTTAATTAAAATTATTAATTGACTTAATTAATTATTTATAAATCTATAAAATAATATGAATTTATTAGATTTCATAACACATTTTTAAAATTACGTTTTTATTTAATTTTAATTTAATGTAATAAATACTATATATTTTAGTATTATTATTAGTGATTATTATTATTAAAACAAAAATTATATTAAATTATTTAGAAATGTATAAAACAATATTAGATTAATGGAATTAAAGTTAGCAATTATTGTTAATTATTATTATTATTATTATTATTATTAATATTTTATTTGATATAATTTTTTTCGATAAATTTAATAAAAAAAAATATCGCTAAAATTTTATATAAAATAATATTACATTATTGTTAAATAAAATAAACGTTAATTGTAAATACAATACTGTATATACACAGTATATAATTTTTTTTAACAATAATTTTATTTTATTATAACGATTTCATATTATAGTGAAATTATGATTTGTAAATTATCTTTATAATTCATACAATAAGTCTATAATTATCAATATTTATCTAACATTTATTTACAGATAAGTGATTTTTACAGTTAAGTTAACTATTTTTTATAGACATAATAAATAATTATTACATCAGCTTTAAGTAAAAAATATATTAAGTTAGCAATCATAAGCAGCAATAAAATTATAATATAACAAAATTATTTTAATTAAGGTTATTCAAAAATCTAACATTTATTCAATAGATTAAATGTTATTTTAACAAATTTAAAATTATCATTTACAGTAAATGAAAAAAACATGTATTTATTAAATTAATTAAAAAAAACATTTAATTTTTCTACTATGTATTATGTATTGAAATTAATTATTATATTTATAACTATTGATATTGGCAAATGTGAATTACCATGGTACAGGACTACCTCCCAAACAGGTAACTTGTATTTATATACACTACAGTAATTTTTTTTTAAAAATAAATATAAGATTTATTATTTTTTAACATTATAATCAACAAAAACAAAAAATACAATAATTAATAAAAAATAATTATTGTATTATTTAAATCAACTGTTATAAATATTATTTAAATATAATACTGTATAATATATAATATGATATAAAAATAATATACTATTTATAATATATTTTATTAAACTATTGATAAATAATTTTTTTAATTGAATATTAATATTAAATAATTTATTATTAATAAAAAAAAAATATTTTTACTTTAAAATTTTAATTTTCTCTCTCTCTTTCTCTCTCTCTCTCTCTCTCTCTCTGTTTAATTTACGATAGATTGCAACAATGTACAAATAAATTCAACTGATGCTGGTTATATAAGCAGTCCTGATTATCCCAATAATTATCTAGATAATTTAAATTGTACATGGTCGATTAGTGTCGATAAGGGTAACCAAATTCAATTGATTGTTGAGGATTTTTCAACTGAAACACTACACGATAGAATCTATGTATATGATAATTATCAACAAAAACAACAAAAATTGCTAGCTGTCTGTAGTGGCCAATTTTCTAGCAATAGTAGTAAAAGTATTAAATCTACATCAAATACAATGGTCATCCTATTTAAAACTGATCGTAGCCTAACATATAAGGGATTTAAGCTAAGTTTTAAGGAAATAGGTATTTTTTTATAAAAATATTAATAATAATTAAAAATTTTTATAAATGTAAATATTAAAATATTAATTTTGTATAGTTAAAACAGTGAATTTGTCAAAATTTGCCATGGACAATTTGTTGTGTGGATCAAATCTAACCAATCAAACTGGATCAATTAGCTATTATAGTAAACATAATATTAATAAATGTTTATGGAATATAACAACCGACCCTGGTAAAAGTTTGCGTTTATATATTAGCGAGTTTCATATTGAAAAGCATCTAGTAGAAATTTTTGACAATTATTATCATTACTATGATAATCATTATAGCAATTATGTATCGTTAATGAAATTATATTCAACTAATATTTATGATGAAACCAATGGCACACATGTAGTGTCGGCATCAAATAATGTTATTGTTGCCGCCAATGTACAAGGTCAATTTGCTATACAATACGAAACTATTGATCATGGTAAATCTATAAAAAATATCTATATTTCTAATTAATATTGTTTATTAAAATTATTATTTTTGTTTTCTATCTATATATATACTACTATATATACAATACTACTAATGTATAGTAATATATACTATTATATATATATATACTACTATATATACAGTATATACAGTATATACATACTATTATATATATATATATACAGTATATATATATACAGTATATATATATACTACTATATATTTACATAATTATATTTAGGATGTGGTGGTATATATACCGATCTAAATGGCGGCACAATCTATAGCCCTGGTTATCCAAAAATGTATTACGAAAATCTTAATTGTACCTGGCTAATCAGTGTTACCCATGGTTATAATATAATTTTTCAAATTGACGAACTCGATACTGATAAAAATGACTATGTTAACATTCATAATCTATACAATATAAGTGGATTATTAAGTAAACAGGGTGGTAGTCAAAATGTATCGGTTAATACTAATCAGTCCAGGGTAAAATTTTTATCCGATAATAACAATAGCATTAGAATGGGTTTCAAAATAAGCTATCTTACAAAATATATGGGTAAATATTTTTAATTAATTAAGTTTTAATATAATTATTATAAATCATAATAATTTTTTTTATTCAAATTTTAAATTTATTACTATATAGGCTATAAAGGTCTACTAATATTATCAGTAGTAAATGGTTTACTAAATATAAAAACAAATAGAAATTTTGACCATTATTTGGGTGATATGGATCTTATTGATGCCAATAAAAATCAATTGATTATATTTCATCAGGATAGCCATCGATTAAAATTTAT